TACAGCTTTCTTTCTGAATTACTGCCTCAACATGACCCACAAAACGTTAAAAGGTTGAAAACTTTCACATTCCCAGAGTTTAAAAATACGTTGTCAGCAGCTGTGGTTGACTTGTCAGCAGTTACAGATTGAGGGGTAATAAATCTGACTGATGACATGTGTGAATGTCTCTCTACCCTTGTAAAAAAAGTGCTTAATTGTATTGAATGTGCACTTGTAGTGCAAAAAAGCATATATTTAAAAAAAAGTACTTGCAGATAACATTAATGTAATAAAAGGCCATTTAAGTGTACTTAAGTGTCACTTTAATGACTGTTTCTTTAAAACACTTTTAAAAAGTGTTAAAGAGTTTTAGAGTTTAACTTTAAATGTTCTTTTTTTTAATTATGTTTTAATAATCTTTAGTCAAGTTCATTTATTTTGATGTGTTGATTACTAAAGCATGTTAAGTACTGCTATTATGGACTGCTATCTTGGCCAGAAGCAATGGTTTGAAATGAAAAAACCTTAATAATGGATTTTCTTCTTACAAACACAGCTTTTCACTTTTCATTATTGTGATGTTTTCATAAGCTTTTTGGACTCTCATTCTGACGGCACCCATTCACTGCAAAGGATGTAATGCTAAATTTCTCTAAATCTATTCCACTGAACAAACAAACTCACGTTGAATGGCCTGATGGTAAGCATATTTTCAGCAAATTATTCAACAATTAAATGCCTAAAAACATTACATTCAATTCACATTTAAGAATATTTTTTGAAAGTATATTTCCATAACAAGTAGGCTACTCTTTTTGAAAGTATGCAAAAGCAATGCAATGCAAAAAAAAACTGAATGATGAAATAAAACTTGGAATATATACAACACACACACACACACACACACACACACACACTACTATTTATGCATTATACATATTGTTTACAGACATCTGAAAGGGATATACAGTGGGTACGGAAAGTATTCAGACCCCCTTAAATTTTTCATTCTTTGTATAATCAAACACAGCTGGACTCAAATGAGGGTGTAGAACCATCTCAAGGATGATCAGAAGAAATGGACAGGACCTGAGTTAAATATATGAGTGTCACAGCAAAGGGTCTGAATACTTAGGACCATGTGATATTTCAGTTTTTCTTTTTTAATAAATCTGCAAAAATGTCAACAATTCTGTGTTTTTCTGTCAATATGGGGTGCTCTGTGTACATTAATGAGGAAAAAAAATGAACTTAAATGATTTTAGCAAATGGCTGCAATATAACAAAGAGTGAAAAATTTAAGGGGGTCTGAATACTTTCCGTACCCACTGTATTTCTGCAATAGCGCTCACACAATCTGTTTTACAAACTCCATCCATATAAATTTGCAATAAATAATATACACTCTTAAAAACAAAGGTGTTTAAAAGGTTCTTTACAGCGATGGGATAGAAGAACCATTTTTGGTTCCACAAAGAACCGTTCAGTCAAAGGTTCTTTAAAGAACCATCTCTTTCTTACCTTTTTATAATCTGAAGAACCTTCTTTCGCAACAAAGAACCTTTAGTAAAACAGAAAGGTTTTTCAGATGTTAAAGGGTCTTTATGGAACCATTTAGACAAAAAGGTTCTACTATGGCATCGTGAAGCACCTTTATTTTTAAGAGTGTAACATCTTCCCCCAAACTTTACTTACACATTTAACAAACATGTTTTTGCCATTGTTGCCTCATATTCTTTCCAATTTCTCAAAAAATGCATGATTTCATACTATTGGCTTTTGTGATAATTATGTTCTACTACAGAAGTAATCTTTCTTTGTTAAACATCCCATTTACAGTTGATTTACAAATAAATTACAAAATGAAACAATTATAATGTCAAACTCAGATTAATGCACTTAAATCCCATTTAATGAATCACCCTAACTTTTAATTCATGCCACGCTTCCGGAACTAAACAGGTAAGGTAGTGACCTCATTAGTAACATGGTACATGTTTTGGCACCATGGTACATTTTTAGTACAGATTTACCCTGCAGTCCTAGTGGATCTTGCTTTCGGTTTCTGTTTCTTTTGTTAATGCGCTTTTTAAAGCCCAAGCGTAGACGTTGCCCTGCTGAGAAAAGTGTTTATGAGCACATTTTCATTATGAACAGAAACAATAAGGCCTCGTTCTGCCTCTGTGGCCACCGCGGTTTAATCTCAGCCCTCTCTCGCCCTTATATAAGCTCATATGAACTGTGTCTGTGATTTGATTGTTGTGAGCACATTTCAATAGACAGGAGATGACACTCAACAGGCTGAAAGCGAGGCGTTCAAGCAGACAATAGCGTGGCAGGAGGGGTGCGTGGCGTGTGTCTGTGGATGCTTTAAGATCAGCGGTGAGTCACACAAACGGAGAGCGAAGATCCTCTCCCACATCTTCAATCAGAGCAGACTGTGCTTGTCGGAAGGAGGGACGAAGCGTTTGAGAGAGGCGGGGCATAGAGGACCTACAATAATGTACAGTATTTGAAAAATAATGTGTTTTTTGAACATTAAAGCATGTCAACATATTTTGTTACACCAAATACACAAAATAATGATCTTTAAAAAAGCATCATATGACCCCTTTAAATGTAAATGAGTCATTTGGTTCGATTATTTTCTTTATAGGGCTATTAAGTGTGTAGAGTGAGTCTCTCCTACTGCGCCAAATCTGTGCATCACATTTTCACATATCATAAGTGCATTAAGAAACTTCACCTTAATGGCTTAGAGCACATCTAACAATGCGACAACAGCAACATTCTTCTTTCTGAAGGATAATTGCATAATTTTTGCTTTCATCTTCAGCTAAGTATGCTAATGCACCAGCTTAAATGGTTTTGCTGTTAAAACTTATTTTAAAAAAAGTGATGTTGCTGCTAAATATGAACATCAGAAAAGGTTTCATCTTTGTATTATATTTCAGTAAATTTCCTAAAAATTAAGGGAGCAGAAAAAAAACATTAAAATCTAACAAGAACAAAAGGAAATAGATGCAAGAATGTCAGTTTTATGTAGCAGAAACTTGTAATTGTTCTAGTGATTATGTGCTTTTCAATCTGCAACAAGAGATAACCGTGTCCATAGCAGTGCAAAATATCTCCCTCCCTCTCGCACACCCACACAAAAGAAGAAGAAATGGAGAAATCGTACCTGATGAGCCATTTGTAAAGCCCCACGTCAAAGTGTCTGAAAAGCAAAAGACAGTAATGAGTGAGCTCAGGGGTTAAACACAGATGGTTTGAGCTAACACACACACTTCTGTAGAACATGACACAACACAAACATGTGTCTAATCAGTCAACACCCAGAACAGATAAAAAGAGAAGAGAATCTGCATAAATGAGATGCTTGAGGAAACCATTTTAATGAATCTCTGGGGACAAACGCTGGCATTTGGTGAGACAGCCGTAGCGCTGGGAGACATTTTCTCAAAGCGGCTGATCCCAGAACAGTTTTCCCATTTGTCTAGTTGAGCTGTAGTCCAACACTGGGTTTTGTGGCAGGTTTGGGACACCTGTCTTATCGATCTGGTAGGCAGAGACAATATTTATGCAGTCGTATGAAACTCTATTAGTACATTTTCAGAAGGAAATGTGAGTGAGAGGATGTACTTGCCCACGCAAAACTTGCCACCACAATGCTAGTGTGTCACAGGTCAGGTGGTTGTTAGGATGTTGCCATGTGGTTGTTAGGGTGTTTTGGGTGGTTGCTGGGGTTGCTAGGATTTTTACTGGCCCAAATCAAGAGCGAATCTGCAAGTCTATATGGATGGTGTGGTCACTAGATAGCTCTTTTTAAGTAAGAAATAAAACAATGAAAAAAATGTAAATGTTAAAAATTTTAATTATAAGAAAAATATTAATTTATTTAAATTTAAATATAATAAATAAATAAAAATTATAATAATAAAATAAAATATATAAATACATTCACTATACAAGTAAATGGTCCACCTGAGGAAAATGTCTCTGTAAACATAGTAAATAAAGTCCTAATTATGTAGTGATATTAAAAAGTATTACCAATAATAATAATAGAAATTATTAAAAATAATAATAGAAATACAAATCATAAAAATATATAAATATAGATACATAAATATATGCAGCATACAATTGAAAAAAATTAATAAATCAATCAATTAAATAAATTAGAATAAATAAAAAAATAAAAATAAATCATGTTGAACTGGACTGAAATAAATTTAAATAAATACAGTTCACAAAAATAGATTGATCTTTAGAAACTACACTTCTAGCAGGTTTGGATCTAAGCTTTTTATATGTTTCTAACAAGCAATATAAAGTCACATTGTGTTCTTTTCTGTTTCACTAATCACACAGGGTTTCTAATTTGCCCTTTGACATGTAGCTCGTATCAAACCATCATGAAAGCAAAAATATTGATTTGGCCCTTTGTAACTCAATTTGTTTCTCGGCAGGACTTTCTCTTCCTCCTGTTCCTCTGAGCAGGTGTGAACAAAAGTCATCAGGTCATCACTATAGCCACAGTTTCTCTTATTGTTATCCTCACTTTAACTTCTAGTCATCCATCTATCCACATTTCATCCCTCTTCCTTTATCCTGACATAATGCTATTTGCTTTCGATCAGCTGGATAGGATGGGTAAATGAATAGACAGGTCAAAATGTTCATTTTACTATTCACGGTGAAAAGAATTAAATGGATGAGTGAGTGGACAGCGTTATGAATATCTCCATCATCTCATCCAATTAGAGCAAACGCACAATCTGAATTTGACACCAACAGACGGTTTTCTGGCCACAAGGCTTTCATATGTAGTTCAGTCTGTCGATTTCGGAGTCCAAATACACCCAGACCCCAGAGACAGCAGTAAAGAGCTTCTAAAAACAGGCCTGTATGAGGAGAAATGGACACGTGCAAGCAGATGGCTGCTAACATGTCAGAAAGCCCCGACATGAAGTTTTCATGAGACAACAGAAACGATCAAAACCTTCAGTGCCGCAAAAATAACCATCTGGAAAGAGAGAGCAAGAGAAAGAGAGAGAGACAAAACAAAGGCATAGAGTGTCTGGAGGGGGATGGATTGGGTCTGGGGTCTACCATACATAATGACTCCTAAATCAGATTGTCCAGGACCGTTTGATTCATTCCAGCACTTCCCAGCATTCATTAGCAACTATTGATGAAATCTGCTTCAACTCTGGGGAAATAAAGTCATCCGGGAAGGCCAGGAGAACAGATAAAGTAGAAGTCATTTCACTCTATATTAATAAAACATTATGTGGAGGCATGCAGTTGTGCTTGTCTCTTCCGTTTAAGTCCGGAAATACACCACACAAATGTTTGGCCAATGCATTTTGTTGTACATACTTAAAAGGGATGATTCATACCAAACAATTACTGTAAACTTTTGTCATTACCATCAGTTAGGTTCAAGCTCTTTATGAACACCAAACAATAAATATTAAATCAAATTATGTTATTTATTATCATTAAATCATTATTAAAGTTTAAACAAATGCCACAAGCCGTAAGAGTCAACACAAATATATGACCCTGGACCACAAATAGTTGTTCATGAGTCCCTTGTTGGTCCTGAGCAGTTCAATTGCCTGCTGTTCTTCAGAAAAATCCTCCAGCTCCTGCACATTCTTTGGTTTCCAACATTTTCTGCTTATTTGAACCCTTTCAAACAGTGACTGTATGATTTTGAGATCCATCTTTTCACACTGAGGGCAATTGAGGGACTCATAAACGGCTATTACAAAACGTGGAGGGAAATAAAGTCATCCGGGAAGGCCAGGAGAACAGATAAAGTAGAAGTCATTTCACTCTATATTAATAAAACATTATGTGGAGGCATGCAGTTGTGCTTGTCTCTTCCGTTTAAGTCCGGAAATACACCACACAAATGTTTGGCCAATGCATTTTGTTGTACATACTTAAAAGGGATGATTCATACCAAACAATTACTGTAAACTTTTGTCATTACCATCAGTTAGGTTCAAGCTCTTTATGAACACCAAACAATAAATATTAAATCAAATTATGTTATTTATTATCATTAAATCATTATTAAAGTTTAAACAAATGCCACAAGCCGTAAGAGTCAACACAAATATATGACCCTGGACCACAAATAGTTGTTCATGAGTCCCTTGTTGGTCCTGAGCAGTTCAATTGCCTGCTGTTCTTCAGAAAAATCCTCCAGCTCCTGCACATTCTTTGGTTTCCAACATTTTCTGCTTATTTGAACCCTTTCAAACAGTGACTGTATGATTTTGAGATCCATCTTTTCACACTGAGGGCAATTGAGGGACTCATAAACGGCTATTACAAAACGTGGAAACATTTACTGATGCTCAAGAAGGCAACAAAATGCATTCAGACAGCCGTGTATCATCCAGGAAACGACACACAGTATTAAGGATTCAAGGGTATGTAAACTTTTGAACGGGGTCATTTTTTATAAATTCAGTTATTATTTGGTCTTGTCGAGAATAAATAAACATGTTATGTAAAATAGCTTATTCAGGACAGTATTAAATAAACAATAACATGCAATTTTCATGATCTCTCTTATTTTGTTAAAATTATTACAATTTTGCATATTCTGCATGTAAATGTAATGAGCATGTACATTTATGTAATGAGGGATGTAAATTTATGAGCACAAGCACTACTGTATTTATGATTGGAAATTTACAAAATATCTTCATGAAACATGATCTTTACTTAATATCCTAATGATTTTTGGCATAAAAGAAAAATCAATCATTTTGACCCATACAATGTATTGTTGGCTATTGCTACAAATATACCTGTGCGACTTATGACTGGTTTTGTGGTCCAGGGTCACATACATTTAAAAACCTGAATACACAATTTATTTTATCTTAAAAAGGAACTGAATCACAATTAGCCATTTTGACTGTTTTTTCTATTTTATAGGTTTAATAAATCTAGTCAAACCAAAAATTTGATATAACCAGATATAATTTTGGATTTTTTTTCTACTAGTGGGCGCAGGACACTATAGTTCATAAATGTAAGTGAGGATAGCAAAATAAAGTGAACTGTGACATATTATACCCAAACATTCTTCATACAGTAGACTACCAGTAAAATTTGGGATAAAAAATATTCAGCAACTTTGACCTGACCATGTTTTGCTTAGGTGTTTTTTCTTTAATTGCTAATGTGAACTTTTTACACCACACTGAACAAAATTAAGCATAGCTTGGTAATTGGTTGACCTAAATTGGTATTATCTAATTGTGTAC